CCTAAACATATTAAGGAAATTAGAAACATCTGAACGCATAAGTTAAAATCTGGAGAACAACACGCGTTCCTTTTTACTTCCTCAGTTTGCCTTCTAAGATTTTTAGTCTTTCTTTTTTCAGCTTTGATCAAAAACACAGTTATTGTTGTATCTATGAGTTGATCTAGTATGTTCTATCAGATTTTAACAAGCTTTGAAGGCACAACATTCCCACAGGATACAGAAAAAAAAATCTGAACTGGAAAAACAATAGAGCTTCATAGAGATCTTGTTCTGGCCAGTGAAGTCTCTTAAGGGATCACTGGCAGCCATGTCTGCAGATCTTCACCGAGTTGTCACGTTTGAAGTCAGACACTGATTGTAACATCATCCCTACAAGCGCACCAACTCACCAGGAAGCCTTCGTAGCGCTCTGCACATCACCTAAACAGGCAGCTGTTAGAAATCATAGAAGCTAAATGAATAAACAAAAGGTCAAATATTCCGTGGAGGACTGCGGGTTGCTAAAATAAGACATTTTTTATGTTGAGGAATAACAGAGCTTAGTTTTTTGTCTGAACTTAATCAATCTGGCAGCGCTCAAACTGCATTTTGTGAAATTCACACTCAACATTTTTGGACCTGACTGAGCTAAAGCTAACTGTATATTTGCAAAAGTTGTTAGCTTTTGCAGCCATCTTGAATGTTGTTGATTTCAGCAGTTAAAGCTGCTACGGAGGACCTACAGAACAAGCTAGGTCTTGAATGCAAACACAGTCACAGAACACTTGCCCCGCTATCTTCCCTGAGACACTTCTGTTGGAACTGGAAACTCGCCAGAGGAAAAGCGAAATCGCCAAACGTCTTTTGTAGTCCGTGACTTCAAAAGGTGTTGACCGACAACCGGATGGTCCAATGGTTGCTTTTGGTCTGAAATGTGTCATTGGCGGAGGATTTTAGGCAAATGTGAAAAAAAAACACTTTATTATTTTTTTTCTAAATCTCCATATATTTATAGCTATACAATGTTTGAATGTTAATTGGCATGAAAATGTTTTAAGCCTGTTTTCCAAGTTTGCTAAAGCAGCGCTAATCAGCTGTACACGTAGATGCACCTCCAAGAACTACATTTTGAGGGATTATTTTTCCCCAGTGGTTGATAAGGTACATAGCAAACATGTAAACTGAGCTTTTTCCCAACACTTCACATTAAAGCTGCTTTCCAGAGTTTTTCCCTTTCGGAGATGATGTATGATTTTTCTGAAATCCATAAAAGTGATTATCTCATCATGCACTGTGATCAAATGTAAGCAATACATCTTTTTTCTTGCTAACCACACCCCCTGCCCCACAGAGCTCTGTGCAATAGGAAACTGTGCGCCGACCAGAACTAACCGATAGCGTTAGACTACCGCTTGCTTGCTTCAAATTTAAGGAATACCTCGACTGATGCAGAGTTGATGAACTTTTCACAGACAAGTAAGTCTCTAAAATATAAATATATGAGAACACTGCATAACATGAGAATAATACTCGTAAAACAATGTGTTTAGCTCTGTTTGTCGGCTACAGAAGTACATTTATAAACAGAAACGTGAAGTCGCATTCTTAAACAAACAGAGGAATAGACTTTTTGTGTGATATGCTTGTCAGCCACTAGACCAGGGGTGTCAAAGTCAAACTCATACAGGGCCGAAATGAAACTCTGGGACAAACTTAATATTTTTTGAAAAAGTGACAACAAATTTGCACATTTTCTTTATCAACATATATGCAGCCGCTTCACGAATGTGAAGCGGCTGGGATGAGGATCAGCACCTCCAAATCTGAGACCATGGTTCTCGACCGGAAAAGGGTGGCTTGCCACCTCCGGGTCGGGGGAGAGGTCCTACCTCAAGTGGAGGAGTTTAAGTATCTCGGGGTCTTGTTCACGAGTGAGGGTAGGAGGGATCGGGAGATCGACAGGCGGATTGGTTCGGCGTCTGCAGTGATGCGGACGCTGAGCCGATCTGTCGTGGGGAAGAGGGAGCTGAGCCAGAAAGCCAGGCTCTCGATTTACCGGTCGATCTACGTCCCAATCCTCACCTATGGTCATGAGCTTTGGGTAATGACCGAAAGAACGAGATCGCGGATACAAGCGGCCGAAATGAGTTTCCTCCGTAGGGTGGCCGGGCTCAGCCTTAGAGATAGGGTGAGGAGCTCAGACATTCGGGAGGGACTCGGAGTAGAACCGCTGCTCCTCCGGATCGAAAGGAGCCAGTTGAGGTGGTTTGGGCATCTGGTCAGGATGCCTCCTGGACGCCTCCCCGGGGAGGTGTTTCGGGCATGTCCTGCCGGCAGAAGGCCCCCGGGTCGACCCAGGACACGTTGGAGAGGTTACATCTCCAATCTGGTCCGGGAACGCCTTGGGGTCCTGCCGGAGGAGCTGGTGGACAAGGCCGGGGAGAGGACGGCCTGGAGCTCCCTAGTTGGGATGCTGCCCCCGCGACCCGGACCCGGATAAGCGGAGGAAGACGACGACGACGACATATATGCAATTTAGAACCTTTTAATTTGGAAACAAACTTATTTTTGCATTAACACTGAATGTGGAATAACCAAATTACACACGAGAAAGTCAATTTTAAATTAAACACATCAGTGGTATTCATTACTTGTGGTAAATTCAGCATTTTTTAAATCTATTCAGGTTTTATGTTTTCTTGTTGTTTATTGATTTTTCTTATTTTTTATTCTCCTTTTTTTCTCCTGTAATAAGTGTCATCACTGCTGTGACATCTAGCTTTCCCCACTGAGGAACAATAAAGGGATTTTCTATTCTATTCATCTATCTGCAGCCTTTCCAGTTCCTGTTTAATGTAGGTTAAATGTTTTCTCACTGGCCAATAACAAAATAAAAATATAATTTTATCTGAAGTGAAAATGCAAAACTTTCATGTTTTGGAGCAGACAAACAGCATAAAACCAAAAATATTTAAAGCTCAGTTTGCTCCACTAAATTACTGTGATGCTCACCTGTTCCAGCCAGATACCTGCATCATGGGTTTGATCTGAGCTGAGGAGGAGACTCCTGTTGTTTTGTTCATCTTCATCATAATAATGACAACATTAGATGACAACAGGTGCTCACATAGGTTTGAGCTGGTGAACATGGAGAGCGTCTGAGCAGCTTGACCATGTTGTTGTGTGTCTGAGAGGAAAAGTAAAAACTACAGCAGCCACAGAGTCGTGCTGATTTGAGCGTATCGCAGCTCGCTGGAGTTATATCAGCTCTATCTGGAAGTTAGTTGTAAAACTTTCTCTATCAGTCGTGAACACATTACTGAGCGGCTAAAATCTCCGTTTCTGGGCTTTAACGTCGGCAAATAGCTGAGTAAACTTGGCACTGAGGGAGAGGAGTGTTTAGTTTGTCCGAGACAGCGGAGCTGCAGACAATGGCAGCAGACGCTGGAAAAAACACAAAGGAGGGGGTGGTTCGGCTCCGCACTAATGCCGCAAAGCATAATGGGAGTTGTAGTCTTTGCGGTAAAATCGGCCAGCGGGTCAGTTTTAATACATTTTTGATATTTATCTCGCGGGCCAGATGTGGCCCGCGGGCCTTGTGTCTGACACATGTGCACTAGACGGTGCCATCGGATAAGAGAAATACTCCGGAAAGAAGCTTTAAATATTCAAGCAAAGCTGCTGCACAATTCTTGGCTCTTATATGTTGGAGATTACTCATAGCCACAACCACCAAATGTTTGTCCTCAAACTAAATATCTTGTAAAGTGCCTGACATGCTGTCATAATTAAGTGCACTAAGGATTTTAGTGCACACAATGATATGCATATTGCAAGGATCTGTACACAATTCCTGGAAGCTGAAAACATCCCAGTTCTTGCATGGCCATCATACTCACCAGACATGTCACCCATTGAACATGTTTGGGATGCTCTGAATCGGCGTATTTAACAGCGTGTTCCAGTTCCTGCCAACATTCAGCAATTTCATACAGCTATTGAAGAGAAGTTCAGTTCCACAGGTCACAATCAACAACCCGATCAACGATGGACATGTGTTGCCCAGCATGAGGAAAATGGTGGCCATCTCTAACATGGTATTCTGCCCCACCACCCCCCATAAAGCAAAACTGTGTCAGGGTGGCCTTTTGTTGTGGGCAGTCCAAGGCACACCTGTACATTATTCATGCTGTCTGGTCAGCCTCTTGATAAGCCACACCTGTGGGGTGGGATGGATTATCTTGCTAAAGGAAAAGTGCTCACTAACACACATTTAGACAGCTTCCAGAACAATGTTTGAGAGCCATCTGTTTGGGTCTTTTGTATATTTAGAAAAAAATTTCAGAGGTTTGCGTTCAGCTCATGAAAAACGGGAGCAAAAACAAATATGTTGCGTTTATATTTTTGTTCAGTGTAAAAATTAGATTGTCTCTTTAAACTCAGCAGAAATAGATGCATTTTATCGTTGTTTGTTCACTTGTATAAAAATGAGTTAATGGTGATTTTTTGAAAAATAAAAGCTACATTTTGGGAGGATTTTCATCCCACAGTTCACATTTTTCCGTTATGTGACTCAGACCGTCTCATCATCAACCAGAAAGTAGCTGACTCATTCTGTTTTGTTCATTCATATGCTCCTCTTGATGGCTTTCCTTTTGACGTAAATGGATTTGAGGGTGTGCCCAATACCCCACTCAGTCCACTCCCATTAACCGAGCCTGTCCACTGCCGCCCACACTCACCATTAATACCCAAGTGACAGTTCCACACAGTGACATGATTGTACCTCTTCTTTGAAAACAAAACCTGCTGGCTGTGATTCACCTTGTCATGAGTAAAATATTCATGTTCTATGGAAAAGTTTAGCTTAAAGTTGAGTCTTTGATGTCTCTGATAGGAGCAAGGACACACTTCCTGGGTCAAATGTGGAGTTCAGAGAAAAGAGTTTCTAATGTTTCAGATTTGAGTTTGGCTGTATACCAAACATCCTCAGAAGCAGTCAAATGTATGAAACCTACCTTGAACTGCAAACATAAGTTCTTTTGGGTCGAGCACCGGTGTCCTCTTTTCTTGGCTCTTCTTTCCCCCTTTGCGTTGACCCCTCCTCCTCTTGCTCTCGCCCCAGAGATTGGAGCCGCCGTGCATGCTGGGAATGTTAAGAACTGCAATGCCTTCCAAGGAGATGCTGCTGAGGTCCAGAGTGACGCCATCACACTAATGTGGAAGGAAAAAAGAAATCAAGTTGATAGCTTCAATTTTTAAATAATTGGCACTTGGATGTTTTACTGAGTTCTGCTGAATTTTTTTTAAAGGTTCCATCATGCTATTTTAAACATTTGAGAACAAAGGTAGGCTTGATAAAATATTACCATTGGCACTATTGAGATGTCATTTATCTTAAATATGAGTTACTTTCGTCAGGCTCAACTTTCACCCGGAAATAAAACGCTTAGTTTCAGTGAAACGCCGCCCATTCTCGCTCCAACAAAACATGCTTATAACAGTGTCTTGGCCAAGTTAGTTACTGTATAGGGAGCCTAAGTCACGCCCATCTACTTCAGCACCATGGGTCCCCAGAAGAACGAAAAAAGTCAATGGGGCTAAAACACTATTTTCTAATTCCGCTTATTTTGGGCCATGGATTTCACATATGATGTCCGTGAATTTTAAAGACGCATTTTGATACCAAGAACGCGCTTGTTTTCGAACAGGGGGAAACACTATTTCAGGCTTTGTGTGAAAATAAGTCCAGGACTACAAATGCGCTTCACGAAAGTGACGTCATCAAACCAGGCACGAAGAGAACTGAGGGAAAATGGCTGTAGGTTCATCAAACTTCCCACAGGAGGAAAGAACCACCATAAATCTGGTCATTTGGTAAGAAGCAGCTTCGTTAGGGGAGAGGAGATTCTGTGGTCATATGCCAATTTCTGGTTTGTAGTCATGCTAATTACGAAGTTTTACAAGCTGATAAATCTCAAAGTACGTGACTGGCGTGGTCGAAACACCCATCATTATTTTTCATTGTAATTGCAGTACAACATATGTGCGATCCAGGGCGTAAGGCAAAGCAGAATAGAAAATAGCGTTTTTAGTCCAATTAACTTGCATTAATTTTTTCGTTCTTCCAGAGACCCATGAGCCGACTCGAAAAGGAGGAGACTTAGGCTTTTTGTGTGCTATGGTAGTTCAGTGGTAAATTAATCTCAATTACATTGTAATTTTACCATGTGCTGACATGGGTTCGAATCCCGGTGGTGTCAGCAGAAATTTATTTAGCCAGCTAAAGCAGATTTCATGCTTTTATATTTTAGTTTTATTGATTATTAACGGCAAAATATTTTGTGTCTAAACATCTTCAATTTTGGTCATTTCCCATTTCCAAGCAGCTTTTTAGCTGATTTACTCAGCTCACCTTACATGGACTCACACTGGCTAAATAAACAAAGAAAGCCAAAAGAAAAGCTATTTTAGTCCTTATATTTTAAACAGTTTACATGTGAAGGACTGAAAACATCAAATTGGCAAATGTAGCTTAAAAATAAGAAGAAAGTCAAGGCAGCACACTTACCACTAGACTACCAAGTCTGTTACATGACACTTGTTGCTTAAAGCCTAGTTTATGCATCCACGTCTGCGTCGATACGGAGACATGCAATGCCATTATCCATCTTTGTGAGGCTTCTCCAGCAGGCTCCCAAGGGCCAGTGCACTTTTCTAAACATCCATAGAACAAGACGGAGAACGCAAGCTTGAGATTGGTCAGGACGCTGCTTTCATCAACTGCATATCCACTGTGCCCTCAAAAACATAAAGATACCCGAAGATATCTAGTGGCAGAGAAGGAGCAGCTTGAAGAATACCTCACGGAAAAACTAAAAGTTTGAACGTTTTATTCAACCATGACTGGATGAGTAAAAAGATACACAGCAAGCGTTTCGGACATGAGGGAAAACGTGGGTTCACAGATGGTGAGGGCATAAAGAGGTAGAGAAGGAGTGACAAATTTGTGCCTGTTAAAACATTTCTGAAATACAAAGAACATAATATAAACAATATTAAATGCACTATCTTGGACCGGACACATGACAGGATACCCCAGAGGATACGATCTCTGTCTGGAGAAGTCTGAGAGCGAAACGTCTGTCAATGCGAGCGTGTCTCTCCCTTGTGGAGCTGATGTAGAAGCATGAACTAGGCTTAAGCTACACATCCTAAGCTGGCCAGGGAAGACAGGTTTCAGATCAGAGGCTAGTTTCCGGGGGAGCAGCAAGGCCTGATATTGGGAGCAGGAAGATGGAGTGACATACAACTTATACATTAGGCTGTTTCAGGAATTTCTAAATAAAATTCAAAATTTGCAGCTGATACAGGAAAATGCACGAATGGAGCCAAAAACGGGTTTGGACGTATTTGTCATAAGGAAACAACAATATTACATGCTAAAAAGCTCTAGAAAGTGCATTTTCTATGATATGGCCCCTTTAATGTTTTATAGCTTAGCTCAGGGGTGGCCAACTCCAGTCCTCGAGGGCCAGTATCCTGCATCTTTTTGTAGTTTCCCTGTTCCAACACAGTTGATTCGCCTGCCAAAGCCGGTTAATTTCCTGCTGATGGAAATCAGGTGAAATGAGGTATGTTGAAATAGGGAAAACACTAAAACACCCACCCCTGGCTTAGCTAATCTGAAAAGTGTTTTTAATAGAACTGCACAAATATTAGAAAAATCATACTAATGATTGAGTAATATAATTACTCACAACAAAAATAACTAAATTAACTAATTCTACTTGACTGATAATTGCAGAAACCATGGCCAGAAAGCACATGCTAACATGCTAAGCAAATGCTAAAGCAGAAAACAGTGGCCAAGACTGGAGGCAAGAAGTGCTATCATACTGATCAAATGCTGCACCATAGAGCCTTAGTGTGGATCATATGATGGAGGCAAAAGAACTAAGTGAAACATGCATCAAAAACTACCGCTGTGTTTTGCCTTCCTTCTGCTTTCTAAAAACATTGCCCCATAACACACCTGCAAATCATTCTGAATGCATGAGAAAATAAACATATTTTTGCAAATAATATCCAATCCAACTGTGTATTCGATTAATTTTAGATCTTTGGAAACAGACAGTTTTACCAAAACGTAAAAATCTTTAGGTTTTATTTCACTCAGCTCTGTCTTCATCTACATACTCACAGCTCTCTCATATAGCAGTTACTTACATGGTGCTAATTGATGAAGACCTCTACGCTGTGTGGATAGCTCTGTGAAGGTGGAAGATGAATTGTATCGACACCAGCTTCATTATCACTCAATATCACACACAGCGGGGTCATGTTGGGCTAATTACCTGAGTGTTGAACTGTGGATCTATGAAAAACGAGCAGGGAGTTGCAGAGATAGCCTTCACACATCAACACTTTGTTCAAATCTGAAACCTGCATGTTTATGGAACAGGGGCTGACCGTGATGTTTCTTCATTTCTTAGCTGCACCATCATTCTCACCCCAAGGGGAGTGTAATATTCCCAGTAATGCTGAGATAAAGAGTTCATAAAAGAATAAGATATAAAACAGTCACTTTGAAAGGTATTTTTTGTGTAAGTGCAAGGGTTTGATTTACCTCAACCTCCAAGAAGTCATGGAGCTTCTTACATGTGGCTGAGAAGGTCTCCGAAGTGCCAAACTCAAAGTACCACAGCTTATTCTTTGTTCTGGGAAAAAAGGAAGAAGCAAAAGGAATAGTAAAGGGACCAAAACAAAAGGAAACATGGGTGTTTTCTTCACATCAAAATTTAAAGCCTGTGCTCCTATAGGCACAGCTCATATGTGAAACAAACACAGGGTCACTTCAGAACAGTTGGACTCATATTTGAAGAATCCTCTTATCCACAAAGGACATAATCCTTTAAAGCAGTCATTCATCTAAAGGATGCATATCATGATTTATTAATTACACATTGAGTCATAATGATGAATGTAAAAGACAGGGAAGCAGGTTTCTGATGCAGCACAAGGGGAAGCCGCTGGTTAGGCAGGCCTAACATTAATGCACAGAGAGGCTAATCCACCTGCCCCTTCAATTAACTGAGGACTGGGGTGCAGCTCCCCGGGCTTCCTGTAACACACACCCCCAATCACTAAAGCCGATGATCAATGACCTCACAGGGCTGAGTCACCATCTGTCTGCATACCGCCATAGATCCTCTCATGACACCAAAGAACCGTAATATTTCATTACAGGACTTTGATTTGAAATTTTCTGTTATTTGCAGACCTTTGTCAACAGCGTTGCATTTTTGGAAAATCTGTTATTCATGATATAATGTAGAATTGAAATTTTAGACACTAAATTGAAATTATGTTGCTGTGACGTGGAACGTAATAGCAGCGTTTTACCCATGAGCTCCTTTTCAACAGGGAGCAATTCTGACGCAAAACAAGAGTTAAGCGTTCCACGCTGCTGGTCCTGCAAAGTCACTAAATCATGGGAGAATTGCAACACCACGCGGGATTTCAGGAGTCCACACAATAACAGGCAAGGAGAAAGACAGCCGTGTGTATCCCAAAAAGTCTGTGGTTTATTTTCTGTTCTGTTTACGTCGGCTACGGAGGTTTCACAGGAAACCGTGCCATGGTAGGGGATGTGCTAGACGCCACCATGGTGTTCAGTGGGCTCTTGGTGGTGGTGTGCCGGAATAAGTCCCAGTGCCACAAAGCACTGCGGCTTGAGAAGAATCTGGGGGTGGATGTGGTGGTTACCGAGTCAAGGTCTGATTGTATGATAAAGGGTGTGGTGTACGACATTTCCAACAAGGTCTCTGAGTCGGAGGTGTTTGGTTCCCTGAGTGGGGCGGCGATGGTGGCTGTTCGGCGTCTGGGGTTTAACGCATGTGGATTCACTCCACTGCTGATTACTTTTGACGTGGTGGTGCTCCCTGCTCGTGTCCAGTTGGGCTTCCTAAGTTTCACGATGAGGGCGTACGAGGAACCTCCTCTGAGGTGTTTTAGGTGTCAGGGATATGGTCATGTGGCCGGTGCCTGTGTGGTGGGGGTTCGTTGTCGGAGGTGCGGGGGTGACCATGATGGCAAGAGTTGTGATTTACCGCTCCGATGTTGTACCTGTGGTGGGAACCATCAAGCGGCTTATAGGGGCTGCGTGGCGTATAGGGTGGCGGTGGAGGTGGGGAAGGTTCAGGCTGAGCATAAGGTGTCGCATGCCGAGGCGGTGTGTCGTATGGGGGTGCGGAATAGTGTTGCGTCCGGGCCTTGTAATGCGCCTTTGTCAACTGGTGGTGGGGATAAGGGATAAGAGGAAGTTTTTGGCATTTCTATTTGAGGCCTTGTGGAGGGTGAAGAATGGAGCGTCCAACAAGTCTGATGTGACTCGTGAGGTGACAGCAGTGGCGGGGGCCTTGTTGGGTTTTTCTGACGTGTCCCCCGAGGAGGGGGGGTGGGGGGGCAAAATGATTGCGCAGTGTTGGGGGTTCTGAGTCTGCTGTGGATTGTGGGACGTCCTTGGTGGTGGGTGTTGATGGTGGGGGTGGGAGTGTGAGTATGGGGTGAGCCTCCGTGTGGGGTTGTGTTTTCACTGGGGTATGAGCGGGTGGTGGGTTTTTGTTGATGGTGGTTCTGTGGGGACACGGGGTGGGACGGTTCACGTGCCTGTTGTGTGCAGTGGGTTGTGCTGGCTCGGTGTGCTGGCTGGTGTGGCAGCAATACGCCTTATGAGCGTCCGGCCTGCCTATTTTCAAAGAAGAAGAACAAGAAGTTGCCATTTCGTTGTTGTCTTCTAGAACTTTGTTCCAGCTGTGATTAGTGTTTGCTCTCAGTGTTTTTGACTTTGTTTTGGTTCACTCGTCTCTGTCCTTTTGCCAGCTTACTTGGATTTGTTTGTTGGGATTTTTTTATCTGCCTTAATAAAGGACATTAGCTTTTTACCTCCTCATTCTTGAACCTTGCTTTTGGGTCCAGCTCCTGTTACTTGACACAAATCTGATATCAATCAATCAATCAATTACACTTTATTGTCACTTCAGCCATATACGGTTTGTACACAGTGAGGCGAAACAACGTTCCTCCAGGACCAAGGTGCTACATGCAACATAAATTTACAACATAAAAATAACAGGGAGATCACTAAACTATCTAAGGACAGAACAGACTGATCTAACATGACATGTCCTCTCTAAGTAGGTAGTACAAAGGAAAAAAGAAAAAAAAACTTAAACATACTTAGTATGTAGGTGGTAAAGAATCATAAGAAAACATGCAAAGAAAAACATGAGTGTGTGCATGTTTGTGTGCATGCGTGTGTGTGTGTGTGTGTGTGAGCATGTGCGCATGCACGTGTTTATCAGTCCAGCCCCTTTATGTTGAGGAGACGAATGGCTTGTGTTGTGTCTGGATGTGTTCGCCCGAATGCTTCGGTACCTTCTTCCAGATGGCAGGAGGTTGAAGAGTGTGTGAAAGGGGTGTGACCAATCAGCCACAATGCTGGTGGCTTTGTGGATGCAGCGTGTAGTGTAGATGTCCTTAATTGAGGGGATAGAGACTTCGATGATCTTCTCTGCTGTTCCCACTATCCACTGTAGTGTCTTGCGGTCAGAGATTGCACAGTTACCAAACCAGGCAGTGATACAGCTGCTTAGGATGCTCTCAATAGTTCCTCTATAGAAGGTGGTCAGGATCAGTGGTGGAAGCTGGGCCCTTCTCAGTCTTCTCAGAAAGAAGAGACACTGTTAGGCTTTCTTGTGCAAGAAGCTGGTGTTGAGGGACCAGCTGAGGTCATTGTCCAGGTGAACTCCCAGGAATTTGATGCTGTTGACCATCTCCACAGAGGAGCCGTTGATGCTCAGCGGTGAGTGGTCACCTCGTATCCTCCTAAAGTCAACAACCATCTCTTTTGTCTTGTCAACATTCAGAGACAGGTTGTTGTCCTTACACCAGTTTGTTAGCCTCTGCACTTCCTCTCTGTACGCTGACTCGTCGTTCTTGCTAATGAGACCCACCACGGTTGTGTCATCCGCGAACTTAATGATGTGATTTGAACTGTGTGTTGCTACACAGTCATGAGTCAGCAGTGTGAACAGCAGAGGACTGAGCACACAGCCTTGTGGGGCCCCCGTGCTCAGTGTGGTGGTGCTGGAGGTGCAGTTCCCAATCCGTACTGACTGAGGTCTTCCAGTCAGAAAGTCCAGGATCCAGTTACAGAGGGAGGTGTTCAGGCCCAACAGGCTCAGTTTTCCAATCAGTTGTTGGGGGATGCTCATGTTGAACGCTGAGCTGAAATCTATGTACAGTATCCGAACGTGTGTGTCCTTCTTGTCCAGATGTGTGAGGGCAAGATGGAGTGCAGTGGAGATGGCGTCATCCGTTGAGCGGTTGCGGTGGTATGCAAATTGCAGTGGGTCCAGTGAGGGGGGCAGCAGGGTCTTGATGTGTGTCATGACAAGCCGCTCGAAGCACTTCATGATGGTAGGTGTGAGTGCAACAGGACGGTAGTCGTTGAGACAGGACACAGAAGACTTCTTGGGCACAGGGACGATGGTAGGGGACGATGATATCATGACATGGAGAACTTGCTGTTGATTGATAGAAAATTATAAGAGAACCTACACATAGAAACAAAATCTCTGTTCAGTGCAAACTGATAAGCAGCATCAGGATTGCCTTGGAGGTTTTCCAAATTTGCTGCATTCCAGTCATGTTCTAATGGATCATTGTTGGGCCTTGGCGTTTAATAGGACATGAATGTGTTACTGCAGATCACTACATATTTACAGGGAGTTCAGAATTATTAGGCAAATGAGTATTTTGTCCACATCATCCTCTTCATGCATGTTTTCTTACTCCAAGCTGTATAGGCTCGAAAGCCTACTACCAGTTAAGCATATTAGGTGATGTGCATCTCTGTAATGAGAAGGGGTGTGGTCTAATGACATCAACACCCTATATCAGGTGTGCATAATTATTAGGCAACTTCCTTTCCTTTGGCAAAATGGGTCAAAAGAAGGACTTGACAAGCTCAGAAAAGTCAAAAATAGTGAAATATCTTGCAGAGGGATGCAGCAGTCTTAAAATTGCAAAGCTTCTGAAGCGTGATCATCGAACAATCAAGCGTTTCATTAAAAATAGTCAACAGGGTCGCAAGAAGCGTGTGGACAAACCAAGGCACAAAATAACTGCCCATGAACTGAGAAAAGTCAAGCGTGCAGCTGCCAAGATGCCACTTGCCACCAGTTTGGCCATATTTCAGAGCTGCAACATCACTGGAGTGCCCAAAAGCACAAGGTGTGCAATACTCAGAGACATGGCCAAGGTAAGAAAGGCTGAAAGACGACCACCACTGAACAAGACACACAAGCTGAAACGTCAAGACTGGGCCAAGAAACATCTCAAGACTGATTTTTCTAAGGTTTTATGGACTGATGAAATGAGAGTGAGTCTTGATGGGCCAGATGGATGGGCCCGTGGCTGGACTGGTAAAGGGCAGAGAGCTCCAGTCCAACTCAGACGCCAGCAAGGTGGAGGTGGAGTACTGGTTTGGGCTGGTATCATCAAAGATGAGCTTGTGGAGCCTTTTCGGGTTGAGGATGGAGTCAAGCTCAACTCGCAGTCCTACAGCCAGTTTCTGGAAGACACCTTCTTCAAGCAGTGGTACAGGAAGAAGTCAGCATTCTTCAAGAAAAACATGATTTTCATGCAGGACAAT